CAAAGCTCAAAGTTTTTACCAAATTCTGTAGCTTTCGGTGTACTTCTAAATCTGCTCCATAGTTGCATCTTTTCGGGCCTGCTACTGCCTCTAGTGGCGTGGGGGAGGTAACACAATTAATATAATTACATTACTAAATCAGAATACCGCAAAGTCTTTTTTATTATCAATTTTTCATTCTCTTAAGAATGTAGAGCTAATTAAATGATCTAAACAAGACCTTAAAGTGGTTCCAGTTTCTCTCGATGGCCAACCTGTTGAAACTGTGGCAAATTTTAAATACCTTGAGTTGTTCCTGGACAGTCAGCTCAACTTTGCTGAAAACACTGACTATATTTTGAAGAACTGTTCTCAGAGACTCTACCTTTTAGGAAGACTTCGTGATCATGGGGTGACCCAACTAAAGTCTAGTTGGGTCACCCCCATGTCTTGAATTTGGGGGGGAAAAAAATCATATTTTATTTATCACTACAGAAGGGTTCAGTGAATGCGTATATGAAACTGGTGGGTTTGGTACCTCAAAAAAGGTTAAGAACCACTGATCTAGGTTTAATGGCTGCAATTTTATGGAAAGAAAATCTGTTTTCAGATATGGGATGAAAAGTACCTCCGTCTTTTAGAATAAAATGTATCTGGCTTCAGTGTGGTATCAATACAAAGACTTCAACTGCATGGTTTTATGGCAACAACCATAAAACATATTATTCACTCATTTAAAAAAAATAATTTAAAAAATCTTCACATTAGGTCCATTTACGGGTCCGCCACAAATCCTCATCTATATTTGGCCCAAAGCAGATCAATTATGCTTTCAAAGTAGACAAATAATTGCACAGTCACTTTGTCATAATTTTTGTTCATACAAAAGCCAGCTGGAGTTTGTGACTGCGCTATATTGCAGTTCGCGTCGGAGAAAATTTAGTTAGAGGAGCCGAAGAAGAAAACTCACCTTCTCATGTCTGACATAACGGAAATAAAAAATAACCAGCAGATCTGACAGCAGATCTTTATCTTCTTAATGAATGTCACTCAAACAGCAGTCTCACAATCTTATACTAGGATGCACTAAACCTTTTTTTCTTAATAAACTCCCTCTTTCTTTTCTTTTTTAAGGAATGGTAGAAATTAGAGTAAAAAAATGCTCTTTTTTGCTTTTCCGACTTTATTATTATGACCGCTTAGCCTGCTAATCTACTACTTTACATAGACAATGAAAACACCCCCATTTATCATTATTCTACTGGCTCATGTATGCACTATCGGCCTAATTGTTCTTTGCCTATAATGCTGTGGGTATTTATGATACAATGGGCTATTCAAACATTAATGGGCGATTTGATATTACCCATATTGGATCTCAGCATTGAATCCCCTGGATATGAACATATATGAACCCAAAATAGGAGTTAAAATTTCTATATTTTGACCATCATTTAAACATTTAATTGCTTTAGAAGCTTTAAATTTTCCTTTAATCAGTTCACCACAGAAAAAAAGAAACCCTGCATGCCAGGGTGGCGTCGTTGAAGCAGTGCTTTTTATCCAGCCACTACTTTATAGGAAATCTGATACTGAAAGGAACAATAAGAGTTGTAGGAAAAATGTGAAACTCAAAGGCATGCGTGCTTTTAGGTGACCCAGAACTAAGCAGAAGTGTGTGATTGACCTGCTTACCATTTTGACAACTTCTGGATAGGCCTGCTCTGTCAGGTAGCCACGGCTGATAGTCACATAATCCACCAACTCGTTGAGCGTTGAACGCTTATACTCTTTCATCTTCAGGTCCGACAGCGTGTCCATGAAGTCAAAGACAGTACAACACTGTTGGAGCTTCTTTAAGAACAGTTCCGGCTGCTCTGCTACTGGAACGTCTGCAAGCACAAACAAAACACAAAAAGCAACAGTGAGACAAAACTAAAGAAACAGAGGATGAAGTGTACAAGCAGATAAAGTCACATTTCCTTACAATATTGCAAATTTACTTGTATTTAAAAAAATGTTTCTGCACAGTGAGGGGGAGTATTGGAACACGGAACTTGCTAATGTCTATAATAGTACGCGATTTTATTTTTCGATGTTCAATCGATACAAATGCAAATTATGTACATTTTAAATTGGGACCCATCTTAATTGCACATCCCTTTGATTGCCAATCTGATACACCCATTTATATTTATCATTGCTAGATAGAACACTAATGTTCCAATAATAAAGAATAGTGGGGGTGTGGATGACCATTGTGGATGACTAAAGCTACCTGAGTTTTTCATCCATCCTGACATTTTCCCAGTGATCCTCTTCAGCTTACTGTAGCTAACCTACAGGATTCCTGAACAACACACCTAGGCCTGTCGCGATGAATGATAAATCAATTAATCGCACAATAAATTAAACCCATCGACCTCATTTTAATTATTGGCTTTATTGTCTCTTCCTGCCTTTTTTTCCCCCCTTTCTGTTGGTGACACTGAATGAAAAAAGGCTCAGCTCCGGTGTTCTCCACTGACCCTCCCTTTCTCATTTCCTTTGTGTAATGTCCAGCTCACACTACACGAGTTGACGGCCCCTCATTATTTCCCCTCAGAAAGCACGGAGGAGAATCCGCGCATACTGATTGGCTACCTGTCTCATTCAACAGGCAGCGTTAAGCTCCCAGTCGGGAAAACCCCCAATTTAGATCGGAGCGGCCACAACGACCTACCGTAACATACCACCCACTACAGGATGATCGGTTACGAAATCACCATCGACAATCAGAACGGCCAACGATCTAAAATTGTCGTAAGGAGAAAATGGGGGCAAAACATCGTGTAGTGTGAACTATTGCATTAGGTGGTAGGATGTACCACCTAATTCAACTCGTTTGGTTGAATGCAGTATTTATTTCCACTTTGGCTTTTTGTTTATTTTTTATTCAAGTACGTTTTTTGTTAATGGAGACTGAGAATCCATTTTATTTTTGTTTTTGGTCGTTTTGTTTATTTAGTTTATTAGTTCCAGTGTTATGTGTTCTTTTGAAAATAAAGTGTATCTATCTATGGCAGGAAATTGCATGCATTAGTCATTTCCATTAAATGAGTGTCAAAAGCTCTTGAAACAATATTGTTTATTGCAATAATTTTTTCGACAATTAATCGCTCAGCAAAATTTGTTATCGTGACAGGCCTAAACACACCAGGGCAGAGTTCATCATTCCCACTAACCTGGTCCAGTCCGTTGTAATTAAACTCTAATTTACTTGACTCAAAAGTCTGGTTTTTGTTGGAGGAGGTCTGAATGTACAATCGAACTCTGATGCAGAACAAAAAAAGTGAACTCTGGTCCACCTAAAACCTTGGTTTTAATTGAACAGTATTTTCTATTATAGTCTTGTACATTATATTATTATAATCAGTCCATTTTCTAATATATCGTTTTTAATACCAAGAACTTTATATGTGAACTTTCTATATCTGTTGCTGCTGTTACACCAGAGTTTGTCCTTACCAGAACAATAAAGGACATTTCTATCCTATTCTAATAAAGGTTTGCTAATTTTAAATCTCATCCCTTTTATTCCACAATCCCAGGTCTACGAGCTACAACATCAAAGTTGTGGGAATGATCTGGGAATTGTGTAGACTGGAAGGACAAAGTGATCCATAACGGAGAGTTGGTGGTTCAGTGTTTGTGGAACTCATGTGAAAGGGACTTTTTTCAGCTTCATATTGCGACAGTTAATGGGCAGTTTGTACACTTTGAAGTACAAGTTTTGGGTTGTTATGTTATTTCAAAAAAAAGTTTTATTTAATGTGCAACTAAATTTTGAGCCGAAAGATTAGCTTTCATTTTCCATTGTGTGTAGTTTACTCTGACCTCGTAACAAACGTACTGAGTGTTACTCCTCTGGGGTAACCTGTGTGTGAGAGGGACCTTTATTAGACTCAAATCATTCAAGCAAAACTTGCAGCTGCTTAGATATGTTGAATTTATTTTGGGAAGATCATTTCTAAGCAAATGTCTCAAAAATAGACTTGTGATTACATCTTTGACAAGTGAGAAATACGCAAAGGTGGTAATTTGTGCAAAATTTTAAGATCCCTTTAAGAGTTTTTACTACGGACCAAAGCCAATACATAAACAACTCAAGGTAACTTTTTCATGTTCAACTTGCCAAATAACTTTAGCAAGGTCTGTCAACTCTGGCGTCTGACTCAGACGTTTAAGTTACCCAACAGAATCTCAGACAGCAGGGTTTATCTTTAAATCCTTTGAGTCAAATTTTAGTTAAAGTTACACTTTGATGAATAAGCTGGTAGAGGTTACTGTAGGAGGAAAGCTTTGATTTTAAGTGGTTGAAGAAGCAACAAGGCTGTTTCAGGAACTTAAACATTCTTACTGTAACAACGATTAAAGAAGCAATGAATTAACATATCTGGGTTATAACTACACAAAACTTTAGTTAACGTTTAGTTGCTTACAAGATGAAGATGACCGTCTTGTTCCACATACTTTGCTCCAAACCTTCCCAAACAGGAATGATGATCAAATGCACTACTCAGACTGAAGCCAGCTCTTTACTTCTAAATGCTTATAAAAAGCAGCTGTTTTCCATTAGTCCTTTTCAAGTTCACCTTTGCACACATAAGAGACGGACAGGGTTGTCTGGTAGAAGACAGCTCCTGACAGCAGAGGCTAACTTTAACACACCATGCTATGCTGGCAGCTACGTGTTCACAAGACTCCTTCAATGCAAACTGTAACTCACTTAATCAGATTTCCTTCCTCAAGTAGGAACCAACAGCTGAAACAGGCAGTCATGAATGTGACTGTGGGAATTAATTTGTGCAAAATATGGACAAGAGGCTTAAATAATCCAGTCTCCTCTGATGACTTGTTTGTGGCGAGTGGAGTTGGAAAAATGTAAAGAGACACCACATGGATCGGGTTTCTCTTGAAGGGAGGACGGGCATGGTGGGGAAGACGGCAGCATGTCGGTGGTCTTCATTGGCCACACAGAGCTGGAGAGGAGCCCCAGAGAGAAGCTAGGCTGGGCAGCATTGTGCACCTATTTTAGCTCCTCATTTTTTTTAAAGCTTGTTGCACAGTGAATTTGGAGACAGATCTGCTCTCAAACATGGGCGCCAGAGTGTAGACACTAAATCTATGGGGAAATCCTGACAACACAACAGAGAAGGTGTGGCCTTAACGGCTCTGTCTGGTTGAGCCGAACTGCCAAGATCTGTTCTCAACGCTGCAGCTGCGTAATGAAAATCGTGTCATTTTCTTCTCAGGCCCTTCTTGTCACAATACCACAGGTGAACTTTTCATCCCAGGTTCCATGTGAACCTATTGTGTTCACATGGAATTGTGACAAAAGACATGTGTATTTATGTGGAAAGCAGCACTACTGAGCTTCCATGACCTGCTGTTCTGACTATCTGCGTAAAGTAGGACAAAACATGTTTTTCAGTCAGAGAGCAGACTCTGAGGAGCAGTTGTCAGAGGCCATGAGGCTGTAACTCCTTCTGCTCAGTTCTGGTCCAATGAAGTGGGAAAACTGCTCAACAAAGCCTCCCCTTTTTTCCTTTTCTTTTAATGATGAGGGGAAAACAAAATGAGATTTTTCAGCCTGACAATCATGATTTCCTCCTCCGACGACGAACTTGAGAACTCATAGTAGTTGTTCCTCTCTGCCACGGTTACTAATTCTGTTGTACATCACACAAAGAACATCATGACATTATTGCAGTGGGAGGGGGAGATTGGTTTGCTCAGTCTTGTGGGCTGTGAAAGGTCTGTGCGAAAACGAACATCTGAAAACCACGTGACCGCACATCGGCAGTGGGACTTCAGTCTAACAATGCTGGACCCTTTAGAAGATGGAAGATGTAAACCCTCATTTTATAAGATGAGCAGAGGGTTTTAGTCACTTAAATAGAGCTCACATTTTTGAGAACTTTGTACTGAGCAAAGCCGTTTCTCAGGTGATGAGTGCGGAGAGATCTTAGATCATCTTGGCAATATTTTGACAGCACACTGCATGGGGTAAAACATTTATTTTGGAGCAGCAAACTTTGGTTTATTTTATGGTAAAGTTAAGTCCACGCTTCTCCTTTTGGTCATTTACTATAACAGCAAGCCACCTTCTTTGAGCTGTCCGCTCCTGGTGTAATCCCTGTTGGCCCAGAACAGTCTGGTAGCCCTCGATGGAGACATTGGCATCAGGAAAGTCTCCATAAAAACACCAGTACTCATTCAGTCTCCTGACCAGTACTGTTAATTCCTCCATTTTGTCAACCATTGATCTTACGTTGCCCATGGTTAAGAAGCGGAGAAATGGCTTGTATCTCCTCTTCTCCATAAACCTTTGTTGTTTATTTCTTATCGCTCTCCTCTGTTTCCTTCTCTGCAACCTCAAGGTGTTTTCCAGATCTCCAAGGGGAATTCTGTGGCCGGCCAGCTCCATCCAATCAGCTGATCCCTGCTGTAAGCAATGCAGCCAAGTTGTTGTGACCAGCACCGCAAAAAAAAAAAAATAAAAAGCATCTCAACAGAGAAGAAAAAAAAAAGATAGTTGAAAAACGAGCTTCTTGTAACATCGAAAAATTAAATTATGTAGAAAAAATTAAAAAGTCGCAAAAATAAAAAGTAAAAAGAAAAAAGACAAAAGACAAGCAGAAGTAACTGCAACAGGCTGCATACACATTGCTACATGTGCCATTAATCTCCGGATGGGAGATCAACAGGTTCAGTTCAGGAACAAACTCAGCATCCTCCTATCCTTCCCCCGCAGACCCTCTCCTAAACTACTTGATAAAAAGACTGGTTTTGGTCTAGAACCTCTGGAGATCGTTGTTCTTTATTTAATGTTTCATAATATAAAGAACACTAACGACAAAACTCAGCATCAGCTGCATCAGAGTTTCTTCAGTTGGAGGCTTCTTCAGACTCACTGTAATACTGACCTCTACAGGAGGTCTGGCCTACAGCATCAGGATCAACCAATCTGAAGAAATTTGTATTAGTTACAATATTTACACTCCTTGTGGAATAAAGGGCATGTCTTCAGACTGAATACTTTTGAAAGGTGTTATAATTTGAAGATTTGTTTTACGTTTCACTCACATCCTCTTAACAAATAGCCACATATGATGCAAGTAGTCACATTCAATGACCTACCTATTTATCCAATCAATCATCCATAAGATTAGTAAATCAGTTCTACAATTCATCTCTTTGCTAAAGGTATGCTCAACTAACAACTGTCGTAACAGATATGAACAGAGAAGAGAACACAGGGCAGACCATAAACAGTTAGCTGGTCAGCTTATGATAACTCAAAGTAAATAAAAGGTAGAATGGAAAACGCCAACTCTGCTGCTGGGAAATGAGCACTTTGCCCCTTATTAAACTGTTTATTGACTGCAATCCACAGCTCCTCATTGGATTTATCATTGTAATTACATTGCCTCAAGCCCAAAGCACAGTCAGATTATGTGGCGCATCAGAAGCAATGTGCTGATGAGTAGTGAGGACTCAGAATCCTGCTTGACTATTTTGACATTTTCTATCGCTATCCTACTGTGATCAAGCTTTGTTCATTTCACACCACTTCTTACTGGGCAGCGGTCACAACGTTTTCCATACACAGCACATTGGATTCCATTTTTAAATTCACAAACTGATTAGAATTAATTCCTAAGCATTCCTTGTGCTGGTGGTGGCATCATTGCCAAAATTCCCCCTTCAAAAGAAAGGGTTGGTTTTTGTTCGCTTACATTTTCATTTATATATTCTGCATTTTGATTGACTCATTAAATATTGTGTGATTTTGTATAGAAATTTTTAAATGTAGTGACTTCATAAAGGAAAGTTAAAAAAATAAAATATAAATGCCCCTCCACAAAACAAAAGAAAAAAATGTGTAATATCATTTATGATATCTTCACTGACTTATTTAAAAATTTATTGTGATATCAAAGTAAGGGTTGTTGATATCGCCCACCTCTACTTTGACCTTACTAACAATCAGCTCAAAGTGAGTCAAATTTTATGACCTATTGTCTGAACGTGGTGGGCAGGTCTGAGACTGGACAGTGACCTGACGACCTCACCTTTTTCTTTGGTCTTGATACTCCCTCCCTAAAGTGTGAGGCTACTCTGTTCTACGAAACTGTTGTAATGCCTTTAAAATTCTGTAAATCAGATTTGGTTTCTCTATGTTTTCTTATTTAATTAGTTTATCCCTTTTTGTTTCTTTGTGAGTAGCTAAATTGCTTGCCAGTAGTTCAGGAAAGAGGATATTAACAGAATAATTCATTTATAAAGTTGTGCTGTTTTGTTCTCAGACTTAATTAGAAATAAGTGTGTCAGTGACAATTCCTTGTTGTATGAAGAGTTTCTTCTGCCAGTGGTCTAAATTTATTGCTTCATCAGAAACTAAGTTTGGCATATGACTCCAGAGATACAGGCTGGTGCCCCTATTTCATCAATATTTCATTTTATTAATGATTTAATAATTAAGAATCGGTTACAATTATTAATAATTACAAAAGCCAAATATCAAGGCGAATTCTGATTCCCAACAATTTTGATGACACCACATGAAATTGGTACAACATTTTGGTTTCCAGATTTCTGACTCCCAACAATCACATTATGTCAGTTATTGCAGTGGCACAACACACGTTAGAGAAAGATTGGAGACACTGCTGGAGGTTTGGGACTATAATAGAAACAGAAAAGATTTTCCTTCTGGAAAGATTACCAGTGGACAGTTTTTACAGTCCATGTGTGAGTTAGCCCCTAAATGACTTTCAATAAGCATGTGTAATGATGCTCAGTGAGGTCACTGGTGACTTCAATCAGACTATATCTGAGAAGACATAGAAAGCCATTTACTTCAGGCCTTCTCAGAGCTATTTTTGCAAGCAATTCTAAACAGAAGAACTTGGTTTTAATAGCTAGTTCTAGATAAAGAATTGGCTGCAATTAATATCCTGTTTTCAGCTTAACACATGGTCATTCTCACCTTTGAGCAGTGGCAAAGGCGTGAGCTCGATGGGTTTGCCTTGAGAGCGGAACTGGGACGAACTCTGTGATCGCTTCTGCTTGGCCTTCCTTACAGACTTCCGAGAAAATCCGTCCACTTTGTCCACCGACGGAGATGAGGTGGGTGCCGAGGACATAGCCCTGCTAGGAGAGACATCGAGGTGGGAGGTTACATATTTGTTGTTGCACCTGAATTTTCCCTTTGCAGGACAATAAAGAGTGTTCCTATTATGGGGTGCTGTGGTGGCGCATGGGGCAAAGCACGACCCACGTATTGAGGCCTTAGTCCTCGTGGTGGTGGTAGCAGGCTCGATTCCCAGCCCGGCGACATTTACTGCATTTCTTCCCTCTCTCTCATTACCCACTTTCCTGTTGAACTACTTTCAAATAAAGGCCACTAGAGCCAACAAAACGTTAAAAAAAGTATTCCTATTATATTCTCATTCATAGTTTTCATTCACATTTCATCTTTACGTCCACTGACAGGAAGTTACTTTTCCAACGCATCGCTACACCTTGCCATAAGTAGACAAGGCAAACATTTAAAATCTGTTAAACTACAGCTATATGCCAGCTTTAATACAAAGAAATACAATGAAAAGTCAGTTTGATACCAGGGCCCAAAGCTTTTCTCCAGAGGAATATGGGAATGTGAAAAGATTGAATCTGGCAATATCTGCTGTGCGATGGAGTTAATTGATAGACCGACTCCTTCCCCCAACAACATTCATGAAAAATAAAAATAAGTAAAAGGGCACTAAGACAAGGAAAACCTCTAAGGTGGAGCCCAGCCGAGTCCTTTAGTGTAGAGGAGCAGCAGCTGTCACATATAAAGGAGTTCATCACCCTATAGAGTGAGTGCATTTCATCCATTTATGTTCTTTGGCTGATTGATGAGCTGTGTGACGGCGATCATTGGTTGCTGTTTTGGTAAAAGAATTCTCAGTGAATACGCCTTTCCTGACATGAACTTTATCAAGAGCACACACACTGAACATGGCTTAAAAATGGATGTTGACAAGACTCACTAAGCTGGAAGAATGTGCAAAAAAAAGGTTAAATGGTGTGACTGAAATGTGATGTGTTGTCAGAAGTCCTAAAGCTGCAGATTTTTTATTCTAGAAAATCTTGTGTTTTGTTCAAATGTAAAGTAAATCTAATGTGTTCAAAATAGGTTGGAAAATGTTCGTAGCAAATTACAAATATAGCCTGACTAGGACGTAAAAACCCAATGACCTTTACAGTAAGTGATTGACTGTTGTCAAAGTGTCACTGAAGGTGCTGCAAACTCCAAGGAAATATGCGATATGAAGAGAAGACAATCAAATAAACTCCACTTCCAAGACTAATGACCAGTTAGTCTCCAACACCAAAACATTATATTAAGAAATAGGCCAGTACCACATTAAATTTCATAAAATGAATGCCTTGTGTTGCCTTATGCTGCTTCAATATGGGTGAACTAGATCAAGAGAGTTCAAAACCAAAGCTCAAGATTTAAATTTTTAATAATTTACAGTTAATAATTTACAGTTAATCAAGTGTAACCGTAACTTACAGAAACCATAGTTATGGTGCTTCATAAACTTTCTTTGAATGCTATAAAATTTAACTGGCACTTCAGTTGCACTTTGCACAGCTCTTCCTATACTAAGATCTCATCACAAAGGGCACAGCAGCCAATATGGTCTTTCTGTCCTCACGTCATTGGAAAACTAAAACTGACTGGCAAATGCAAGAAGAAAATGCAACTAAGCATCACTGGCTGAGCACATGAAAATACATCAAACATGGTGGAATGATTTGGCTGACAGTACACTATAAGTGGAGAATATAGACTTGAAGATTTTTTGTACTACTATTGTGATAATGATAAGTGACAACTATGTATTACATCTTTATTAGGCAATTATGTCTGTGACTACATGATACAGCTGTCATGGCCTCACAAACAAATATATGCCCATTCATGATGCATCTCTTTAGGATACTAGTCACATGAAGTGTAATATTCACACAGCATTTAATCATATTTTTCAATTTATTGATGCTTTCAGTGAGCAAACTAGAGAAAATAGTAAAGCTAACAATCCCGAACAAGGTCTTATGGGCTTTTAGTCATCATTATTTGGAATTTATTATGACACAGATAACTCAAAAGTCTTAAAACATATTTAGCACAGTAAGTGGGTAGATTCCCTGTACTTGTACAGCGCTTTATCAAGTCCAGAGGACCCCAAAGTTCTCCTGTGGAACTAGTTCCCAGTTTATGGACACAGACACCCTGAATACTTTTAAGACTACAATTAAAACTTTAATACAGAACTTGGCAGCAGAGCCATGTTCTGGTTCTACTGGAGGTTTCTTCCTGTTGAAGGGGAGTTTTTCATCTCCACTGTCGCTACATGCATACACCGTGTGAAAGACTGCTGTAAAGTCAACAACTCAATGCCAGCAGTACGCACTGCAAGAAAGTCAAAGACTAAATGCAAATCGCTGAGTTTCCTTAGATGGAAACTTTTTAATTTACTTTGAATAATTAATTAAGCAGTACTGCTTGATAATGAGGATCAATTGGAATGTATGTATGATTAAATTTAAATTGTTTTTTGTAACGTGCTTGGAGATGACATTTGTTGTGAACTATAATTTATTTTATAGAAATAAACTGAACTGAAACTGTACAAGGACAACGACACAGGAGGAGACTTTATTTAGGATTCAAATCGAACAACTCAGGAATGTCCGGTGCAGAAAGCTCAGTTCCCTTCCTCTCAGCTGACCTAACTTATCAGAAGCTCCAGTCCAGTGCATTTTGCCATTTATTAGTTTTTCCTCCAACGTTATACTGAATGGAATGAGGTTTTGATACACCAATCTGCCAGGGTTCCAGAGGTCTGTAATTATAGCTACACCTCTACTGTAAGAGAATAGGAAAAAATCCACAAAAAAAATAAATAAAATCACATTGTGACCTGAACATGTGCTGCCATTATCAGGACGACCTTCAAATACTGGAAGTGTGTTCCTTTGGTAACCTTTGAGACTGTAGTTTCTAAGGTTACTTCAGGTGTCATGTAATTCTGGGCTGATCACTCAACTTTCATGATCACCGATTCTTTATGAGGCCAGATCAAGCATGGAACCCAGTATGATGTATGATATAGACTGGCAGTCATTTGGAATTTCTTCCATTTTCTAATAGTCGCACCAACAACTTCTGCCTTCTCACCAAGCTGTTCACCTGGAGCTCATCCAGCTGGAGGTCTACAGTGTTGTCCGTGGCAACCTTAGCTCTTTGGTCTAATTGTTTAAGTGTGAGGACAGGTGTCTTTTCAGAGGAGAGCAGGACTTCTTGACTTGACTTGTTGGTCAGAATTACAGCTGGTTAGTAGGGGTGTAGTGATAAACTAATCGGTAACACTGTATTTGAAGGGGGGTGAAGAAGACTGACATGACACTTTCATAAACATGACAGAACACCTGTCATGAACATGAATAAGCCTTCATGAATATTTATGACTGTTGTCATAAAGTGTCATTCGGTAAATTGACACTTTTAATACAAAGTTGACATTATTCAAAATGTCTTTGTTATGACAACTTGACATTAACCAAGAAATCATTACTGTTTAAACTTTACCTTTAATAACATAAAGTTACCTAATTTTTAAAGTGCAATCAGTAATACTTTTATAACAAATTTATATCAGTAATGATTTCTTAGTTAAGATTTTCTGAAATATTTTATAGGGACAGAGTGATTTTGCTGACATTTTGTGACTGCTCCATGTCAGTTTTAATGCACAAGTTGCAAGTTGTGCATTAAAAATTACATGTAATGAAACAACCAGTTACAATTAATTAACGAAATAAATTACAGCATCTAATATAAGTGAATAAAACAAAAAGGCTCCTTTTCTCCAAATACACAAAGCCACACAATTAACATTTAAACAAAGCAAATGTATAACAAATAAACAAAAACATTTATTCCACCACCAGTTCAATTAATTCAACCCAAATCTATGAACAGTGACAAAATCATTGTCCCTCTAAAATCTTTCAGAAAATTGTAAAAATGTATCAAATGTAACAAACTGTATCGTTTGCTGAATATTCTGATATGTATTGTGTTATGAGCAAAATATATATCACATTGTGAGAGTATTGTATTGTTACAGCCCTATGTGCAACGGTGTGTCATAGCTGTCATTTAATTTACGTGGATTTGGCATAAAAGTCAAAGATTTAATGTATCAATACTTGCATATGACAAATTGATACTTTTTGAGAAAAAAATATTGATAAATATTGTAGAATTGATAAAATTACAAGGTCCTACTGGTTAGTATCAAATACTTAAGAAGTAAAATGCAAATTAATTTATTAGTCATACAATGTGATTTTCTAGATTTATTTTTCTTTAGATTTATTTTCTCACACTTTAGGTCGACCTGTGATTATAATTACAAGCCTCTCCATTCAAACGTTTACAGCATGTGAAAACAAAAAATGCCTGTTTGATAGAGCTCCGTTATATCTAAATCACTTGCTTTTGAACAGAAAGACCTTTTAACTTCCCTGTGCAACACATGCAAGCTCCTCTTTTTCTTGTTAATTATATTTTATATGACACTTGGAGAGGCTTTTAAACACCAATAACAATGTTCTGGCTGTTACATAAATGTTTCCTCATTTAATGTAATATTTTAAATTGAATGAAAAGCTAAAAATAGTATACATCTCACATTTTAAAAGATACTTCTGAAAAAAAAAATCCATCCACATTGTAAAAACACTTCATTCTGATCAGATTTAACTAAGAAAAAAAATAAACCAAATATATTGCATCTTTAAAGAATGCAATATCATATAGTGCTCCAAGCAGCAGACTTTGGCAGGGTTAGGCAGCTAGGAGCAGAACCAGAAGCACTTTTTTTTTTAACTACACATGCAGTGCTCATGCCACCCTGTAACAGGTTAGACAGAATCTGGCTCCTGACAAGTCAAAGTGAATATCTTGGATGACAAAACCCATCCAAGCAAACTAAGGTATTTTGGATGACCAAAACAAAACATTTATTCAGTCTCCCTCGTATGTCTTCGCATCACTTCTGCTCATAGGCTGAAACTGCAGGTTT